ATCCATTTTATCCGAGTCCAGTAGCATGGCAATTGGGCAGCTTAACGTCAATTCCAATTGATAACTCTTCTTTCAAAAATTTCAGTCTGGACACAAATAATAAAACTACCTTCCACTAAATCCGGTACAGTATACAGTGGAAATTGTTAAATTTTGTATGTCTGATACTCGCACACAAAATATATCGCGCTTCAATGAGGCAAGAAAAACTTTGCCGCCGCTCCTGCCCACTTTAAAAAGTTAAAAAGCACAGTTAAGTAGGTCGGTCCCGCGAGGGGCAGAGCCCCAGTTGGATAGATGCCCTCACAGCTCAGCAAAAGGCAAGCCAAGAGGAACTAAGCCAACGTGGCTCACTCCAGCACCCGAGAGCTCAGCACGTAGCGCGCTGACGTCACCCCTCCCACCGCGGGCCCCTTTCCTCCCCACCCTGCGCGCGCCTAGAACACTGAAACCCCCTGGAACACCGCCAGCCTTCTAAATCGGGGCTGTTGCTGGGGCGCAGCCGCTCCTCTCATTGGACGGTTCTCGGGAGCCAATCAGCAACACCACCGCATGCCTCCCCTTCCCCCCCTTCCCCTCTGCAAGAACAGAGCAGGCGTCACGGAAACTTACCTCCCGAGTAAACAGCCACCCCTCATCCCGGCCCCCCTTGGTGCGGGGCCCAAACCCTAGAGCCCGGCTGTGGCCGTCTAAGGACCAGAACTCCCCAACGGTCCCCATGCCCCCTCGCGACACTCACCTCTTTTCTAAACGGTTGGCCGGGCGTCGCGGGAGGCAGCGGACCAGGGAAAAGGGTCGCTTCCTCAGTTCGGGTTACAGTCACAGAACAGGGGGCCGAGGCAGCGGCCTGGCTCGGGACTTCCTGCGCTCCGCTCCGGCCAGCTGAGGGGCTCCGCCCGCTCTCCAGGCTCGGCCGGTGCTGCTGGTACTGGTGGAAGCGGCTGGGCAGCTGCCCTGCCGGGCTGGCCCGCACCTTCTTCTTTCGCCGCTTCTTTGGAGCGGCCCGAAAAGTACCCCCAGCCTGGGCAAGACTGTTGTTGGGCAGAGGTGCTGGGGTGCGAGGCTGAGGGTTCAGACACGGACCGTCCCCTCCTAGGAAGTGAGGGAGGAAGAGGGTGGGGGGCAGTGCCCGGGGATCCGGAATCCTGGGTAAAGGCGGCGGAGCGGAGGTCAGCATCGGGAGGGCCCCGAAGTAACTGCGGGCGGAAAAGCCTAGAGGCGCAAGGCGGCCGCCCAGGACAAGCGGCTCCCGCTGCGGGACGGAGACGACGGTCATAGCGCTAGGGGGGAAGTGGTTCAGCAGGAAGGGAAGAAGCAATCGAAGCCAGAGATGAAAGGCGGCGACGGCTGCTGCTAAGAGAGCCCGAGAAGAGCGCGGACGAAGACTCGGGCGGTGGCGGCGCAGCAACAAATAGCCTCAGCTCCAGCTCCGAGTGTTGTTATCAGAGGCTCCGCCCCATGACCACCCACCTCCTTGCGAAAGCCCAATCAGACTTCGACAGGGCATGCCACGCCCCCGGCTCCGCCTCCGCCGCCTCTGAAAGACACAAACAACTAGCTTGCTGCAGCGGGGCACAAAGAAGTCGCACTGCGCAGGTGCTACCGGCGCTGCCTACCGGCGCTGCCTACCGGCGCTGCCTACCGGCGCTGCCTACCGGCGCTGCCTACCGGCGCTGCCTACCGGCGCTGCCTACCGGCGCTGCCTACCGGCGCTGCCTACCGGCGCTGCCTACCGGCGCTGCCTACCGGCGCTGCCTACCGGCGCTGCCTACCGGCGCTGCCTACCGGCGCTGCCTACCGGCGCTGCCTACCGGCGCTGCCTACCGGCGCTGCCTACCGGCGCTTTCGGAAAGAGGCCCCGCGAACAATGAAATTCTGTTTCAGCCCCACCTCCCCCCCTTCTCCTTCCTCGCCCCTGCACCTCGCCCTCCAGGCAGAGGTCAGACTGAATTTGGGAGTGGGATTGCGGGGTTGAGGGCTGGAGGAAGGGAGAAAGAATCCGGAAGCATCAAGGCCACTGACCTTGGGAAGGGATCTGTTTTATTTCAAACCCAGCAAAATAGTAGTATCGGTTTGTTTTTAAGATTTCAAAGAACATTATGGGGATTTCTTTACTAGCAATCGTGAAGGAAGGAAATCAGTCCACATTTGTATTTGTTGAAGTATGGCTTACGTTTTTTTCATTTACTCGACTGATCAATTGTGCTCATTAGCCGTGGTAATCACTGTAAGAATTAAGGGGGTGAAATTAAGTGATTGAAATTTGCCCCTTAATATGTAAAAAAGTTCTCCATAAATCCGTAATTGGGCATTGGAAATGTTACTGCCTTCATACTTGAAGGACTGTGAGACTGGGATCGCAAAACGGATCCTGATACTGAATAGGAAGCAATGGAGGAGGCATGCGCCTCTAAGAAAGTGAAACAGCTCCGCCACGTAGTGTATTTTGCTAGCTATGTTGATAGAAATCTCAGTCTCAATTTATGTCCCCCACACTGCACTCACACGTATAAAAAAGAACTGTGGCTATTTAACAAGAACTTATGTGCCAGGATCTGTTCTCTACATAAATTATCTTATTCGAACATCACAACAACTCTAAGAAATAGATCCTTTTTTTATAGGACAGGAAACAGGCTTGGAGAGGCAAAAAGTACTTGTCAAACATCATACAGTAAATTAATGTTGGAATCTGAACTCCCAGGTTTGGCAAGAACAAAGTTTTAACACCCATACTGCCTGCCACACTTAATTGTAGGTTTTTAGAACACAATAATCTTAACTTCTCTGTATCCTCCGTCTCTAACCAGTATTTTTCAGCTTTGTAGTGCTTGATAAGTGTTTTATCATTAATGACAAGGTTTGACAGAGGTAATATGCAGAATAATGCTTCTCAATAACTTTATATAAACTTTTAATACTATATTCCATCATTAATGATTGTTGGATTTACCGTATTTGCTGGATTTTACTCACTTTTTGTGTTTCCAACACCTAATAGGCAGTAAGTGCCCCTGTTCACTGGATGAATGGCAATCATATACTTCCAGAGCTGTAAAAGCTCTTAGAGAATGTTTGATTCGAATTTTCTGGTCTACAAATTGAAGTTGGGTGTAGGATCCAGTGAGGAAAGTGGCCTGGTGAGAGTTGGTGAAGAGCAGCCCTGGCCGGTTTAGTTCAGTGGTTAGAACATGCCAAGGGCAGGTACCTCCATTTTGGGTTCCATCCCTGGGGTTGATGGGGGAGACAACCAATGGATGTGTCTTTCTCCCTCCCTCACACTCTATCTGAAAAAAATCAATGGAAAAATATTCTCCAGTGAGGATTTAAAAATGAAAAAGAGTTGGTGAAGAACAAAGATTAGAAATCTTTGGAATGAGTTAATTTTGTCCTTTGTTTTAAAGAATTTCTACTTTTTCAAGGTACTTTTCATCTGTTCTCTCATTTTATTCTAATCCATTAAAGGATTACTCATTGTATAAAATAGATTGAGATAGTTTCTATGTAAAATACATGTGATGTTTAAAAAGTTTCTAAAGATAGCCCTGGCTGGTTTGGCTCAGCAGATAGAGCATCAGCCTTCGGTCCAGAGAGACATGGGTTTGGTTCCCGCTAAGGGCACATGCCTCCGTTGCAGTTTGTCCCCCAGCCCTAGTTGGGTCGTGCAGGAGGCGGCCACTTAATGTGTCCCTTTCATGTCGATATTTCTCTCTCTCTCTCTTCCTCTCTCCCCCTCCCACTATCTGAGCAAAAAATGGAAAAATGTCCTCGAATGAGGATTAAAAAAAAAAAGTTTCTAAAGATAAGTAACTTGCCTATGAGTTACACAGTGAGTCAGGGCCTAAATCACTTGAATTCATAATGCCTAGTACAGTGCTCTTTTTACTGTATCCCAAGGCCTAAGGTTTGACTTTAGGGGTAATATCACACTGTCCTGGAAAGTATTTTATCTTCCAGGGGGTTGCTAATTGGCAATTTAGTGAGGCCCTTGATCTAGGGCGTCTGTTGTCTGTGAGTTATTGTATGTGGTATTTAGTTTTTTTATTTTGAGACCTTATGGTAGGTCTCCTGTTAGACCCTGGATTCTGTACTTTAAGAAAGGTAACCTTGCCCTGGCCAGTTTGGCTCAGTGGTAGAGCGTCAGCCTGCGGACCAGGGAGTCCTGGGTTCGATTTCAGCCAAGGGCACCTTCTGGACCCATCCAGTATTCTCTAATATCAATTAGGACTTTTCTTTTAAAGTCCAAATGCTACACACCTCATTTTCCCACTCTGAAACATGGCATTATCTCTGCTGCTGCTGCTCTGCTTGGAAGATGACAGGGCTCTTGGACGTTTCGCCAGTCTTTTGTTTTTTACAGGTTTTTTAGAAGTAACTTTCTTTTTTCTCTTGAACTTTTTGTCAAGTTCACTGTTAGAATTGCTGCCAGCAGAGCTTGAAGAAACAAGTTCCTTTGACTTAGGCATTGCTCCAATCCTGCTCTCTAACAGCCCTGTGCTGACATGCTAGCTTGCTACTGACCAGTAAAGTTTTATTTTTGATGTTCTTAATTTTAAAGTAAAATTAGTGAAAGGTTTTGTCTCTCAAAAACAAAAGAATCCCAAAATAATTAAGTTGTTTTTTACTTACCTATGAACCCCTGATAGAAAAAGTGTTCTTACTCTTGTTCAGTATGAAAACATGGAAATCTGTTTGCCTCAATGGAAATCATTGCCTCCAATCAATCTGTTTACCTTTGGCTATTTTATTTGACATTTTTCAGAAAATAAGACTTAAACTTCTTCCAAGAAATTTAAAATAAATTAAGGAAAATGGATTCAAACATAGTATGTCAAATTTCCTTTATTTTCCAGGTCCCAGAACAGTCAATTTAATCCTGTCCTTCTAGTCAGCTAAAATTCCGTGAGAAAAACAGCATATTTCATTTTTAGAAAATATTGCCGTGCCCCATTTTAAAAAAGAAGTTTTACATTGATTATTTTCAGAGAGCAAGGAAGGGAGAGGGAGAGAGGAAGAGAAACATCAATGTGAGAGAAACTTATTGATCTGCTTATCGGCTACCTCCTGTTACCTAATATTGCACAGGAGTAGAAGCCGCCTCACTGGAAACAAGAACTATTTACATGAAATCAAAACCCTGTTGCAGGCTCCATCTGCACAAGTACAACATGATGAAGCACATTGAGACTGACCACGGAGGCAGCGTCTGGTGCTCACACCACAGAGGCACCTCTGCCACATGATAGGAAAGCAAAGGTAAAGGAGGGAGTGAGGGGGGAGAGGAGTGTGGCTCAGTTCTGGTTCTGGAGCTGATTGGCCAGCCACTCCAGTCCCTCGTAGAGTCCGGCCCCAGTGGTGGCACAGGAGGCCTGAAGGTACCAATTCCTGTGCTGCAGAGAGTGCAGGCCCAGCTTGTCCGTGATCTCATCTGTGTTCATGGCATTGGGGAGGTCCTGCTTGTTTGCAAACACTAGCAGGAAAGCTTCGCTGAACTCCGTCATCATCCGCATGATCTCCTCTCCGGCCTCTGGCACTCGCTCTTGGTCACTGCTGTCAACCACAAAGATGAGAGCTTTTCCATTAGGGCAGTGGTTCCTCCACAGAGGCCGGATTTTGTCCTGGCCATTCACGTCCCACACAGTGAAGCTTATGTTCTTATACTGCAAGGTCTCCACGTTGAAACCTATGGTGGGGATTGTGCTCACCGTCTCACCCAGCTTCAGTTGGTACAGGATGGTGGTTTTCCCAGCATGGTCCAGTCCCACCATGAGAATGTTCGTTTCTTTTTTGCCAAAAAGACCCTTGAAGAGGTTCGCAAAGATATTCCCCATGCTATAGACTGGAGGGAGAGATACAGGCCAGAGAAACCCTTGGCAGCTGTGGTGCTCCTGCTGCTCTGAGCCAGGCGTTGGTTCTGTTTTGTCACTGTTTAGCAAATGTTTGTTGATCCTTACTCTAATGCTCTGTCATTGCTGTGACTCAACCACTCTTTATTGGTTGTGCTTTCTGTGTATTTTCATGTCCACTGTCACTACCTATTAACTCACTGTTTATGCACAGTTCAAAGTCCAGAGAGAGAGCAACTGACTGCAGTTTTGATTGGTCTAGATCAGATGATTTGTCACCATCATCCTGGTTCAATAAAACTCTTACTAACACTCCTCTGGGTGGCACCAGACTAGGATGGTGAGCAAGGGTCATGAGATACCTATCTATAAGGAGTCATTGAGGACCACTTCAAGGACCACTTTGAGAAGTTTAGCCAACCCAGTACATTGCATAACCTATCTTATGGGCACAGAGCATTCTTTTTGTATCTGCAGTTCCAGGAATCCAAGGGAAGTGAGATAACCTATGAAATCTCTGGGGATCCCTCCCTTTTCATACTGGGGATGAACCCACAGCCTGGGTATGTCCACTGACCAGGAATCAAACTGGTGACCTTTTGGTGCACATGATGACGCTCAACCAACTGAACCATACCAGTTGAGGCAAAGCAGTGTCCCAATTTTTACAGTATTTGGACTTAGGATGATACGATAAAGTAGAATTTCAGACACTAGGGCTCTCTTTCTACTGTGTGATGGTAAAAGGTAAAAAACGAATACTTGTTTTAGAGAAATGATTATTATTTTCAAGGCGAAGTAAAATTGTGTAGAGTTTTTTTTGTTTTGTTTTTGTTTTTTTTTGAGTTTGAAACCTCAGAACATAAAAAGAAAAATGAGATTTGGCCAAAGATTTTCTGTCAATTCTTCCCTAAAAAGAATATTTCCATGTCCTTACAACATATAGAAAGATTTAGGATTTGTATAAAACAAATCAACATTGCCTGAGTTATCTTTACTGTGCCCTTATTTTATCCTTAAAAAAATTAAGATATGTACAAGAAGATGAAACTGACATTCCCTGAATTATGTCATTTTTAAATATTCATGAACACACAGAAAGAGCAAAAGAATGTTTAGAATACACAACTGAAGAACAACCACAACCACTGTTGCAGAGAAGCTCAAAATGAAGTTGTGATGTTGATACTTTGCTAAATTTTCTCTGAGATATTGATTATGACTTTCAGCCAAATATGACTCATTGCTATAAATACTGCGTGTAAAATGTCATTAGCTTTTTGAGTCTCAGGGGAGAAAAGAGGGTGATATTTTGGCCTAACTAGTAAGTTAACATATTACAATTATTCTTCACATGTGCAAGTGCATATAATGTGATTAGGTTAAATACTAACATCAAGAGTTCTTTAAGATATAGCCCAGTCAGATCATCCAGTATTGATGCCCACTAGCCAATAATAACACATGCCATACCCACAGAGCTTACAATCAAATCAGCTTCTTATTGCTGTACTCTAAGTGCACGCAGTCAGCCAGGATCATCAGATTTTTAAGGATCAAAACAAATAGGAATAAAAAGAATTTGCAGGATACAGTGACAGAGAATGAAAGAAGGTTTTAAAAAGCCCTTCTAATTAATAGCTTCAGGGTATTAGGAGTATAGTACATTCATGAAATAAATCAAGATGCTATGAAAAAAGGAAGAGGCCCAGCCAGTGTGGCTCCGTGGTGGAGCGTTGACCCATGTACCAAGAGATTACTGGTTTGATTCCCAGTCAGAGCACATGCCCAGGTTGTGGGCCAAATCCCCAGTAGGGGCCTGCAGGAGGTGGCCAATCGATGTTCTCTCTCTCCGATGTTTCTGTCTCTCTCTACCCCTCCCTTCCTCTCTAAAAAATCAATAAAGGAAAAAGAAAGAGAGAGAATATAAAAAAGGCTATTAACAATTTAAAATATGGCAGAAAAAAACCAGTATTTTGTTCTGTGCACATTAACCACAGGTTAAAACTTATATTTTAAATAAACATCTAAGAATGTCCTATATTCCTTCTAATGATTCAGTACTTGTGGCTGTATAGGTGGTACTTATTATCATTTTCTGTCCTCAAACTCACCTTGTGTTGCCCCAGACAATAAATACCATGCCTATGTCAAATTTCTGTTATTTCAGGTCATTCTAAAATTTCCCTATTGCCTGCTTTTTCCTTTTAACTGTTTTATGGTTATACTTCAACTTCCTGTTTTTAACTACCAATCAATGTTTGGTGTAGAAAATTTGGTTTTTCAAAATTATTATACTCTAAGAGGTAAATTTTAAAAATGACACTAGCATTAAAGAAAATCATGATCTTTCACATATTTGTATTTTCAGGGAACTGACCATGGTAGGAAGTGGAACTAAACACAGTTTAGTAAATGAAATAAATATAAAATTTAAAAATAATGGCAGCAGAAAGTTAAGCTCATTTGTGTGAGTTAATGATTTTTAAGAGATCAAAAGTTAAAAGCTGTAAAGTAACTTAAAAAAATAAAAAAGCTTTTGAAGACTCAGCTCACAAGTTCCAATGATCAGGCACAATTTATCTATCTAAAGGCCACTCTCCCAGATTACTTTGACACACTGCAATGCCACTGCCACCTGGTTCTCAAAAGTGTCCAAGTTTCTGTTTGCTTGGCACAGTTTTTCTTCTCTATATACTTTCACACATAGAAAAGCAAGATTCTGCTTACCCTAAAATATTTAAATAATACTGGCATTTTAGATGATGAACTACATGAATCCTTGTTGTTTTCTACTCCTGGGTTAGTGATGTCTGCTCTCAGTGTATATGCATCCTAATGTGTAAATCCTGGAATCTTTTGAGCTCACTCATTTCCCAGATGATGAACATGAAATTAGTTGCCAAGGTTTGGAGTTAAGGATAGAATCCAACGCACTGACTGGGGAAATTATTTGTGAATTATATATCTGAAAAGGGATGTATATCCAGAATATATGAAGAACTCTTACAACTCAACAATAAAAAGATAAATAACTGGTACATGCAAAAAAAGTGAAACTAGACCACCAACTTACACAATACACAAGAATAAACTCAAAATGGATAAAAGACTTAAATGTAACTCTCAGATCCATAAAAACCCTAGAAGAAAATATAGGCAGTAAAATCTCAGACATCTCACACAACATATTTTCAGTGATACATCACCTAGGGCAAGGGAAACAAAGGAAAAAATGAACAGATAGGACTACATCAAACTAAAAAGCTTCTGCACAGCCCTGGCCGGTTTGGCTCAGCTGTTAAAGAGTCGGCCTGCAGACCAGAGTCGCAGGTTTGATTCAGGCCAAGGGCACGTACCTCGGTTGTGGTTCGTCCCCCGCCCCCAAGTCATGTGGTAGCACCAATTAATGTGTCTCTCAGACATCGATGTTTCTCTCTCCCTCCCACTCTGTCTGAAGATAAATGTTAAAAAAAAAAAAAAAAAAAAAAAAAGTCCTCGGGTGAGGATTAACAAAAAGCTTCTGTGCAGCAAAAGAAACCAGCATCAAAATGAAAAGGGAACCCACTATATGGAAGAATATATTTGACAATGATACATTGGATAAGGGGTTAATTTCCAAAATATATGAAGTACTCATACAACAAAAGGAAGACAAACCAATTTAAAAATAGGCAAAAGGATGGCTCAGTGGATTGAGTGTCGTCCCATGGACTGAGAGGTCCTGGTTTGATTCCCAGTCAGGGCACATTCCAGGTTGCTGGCTTGATGCCCAGTAGGGGGCATGCATGAGGCAGCCATTCGATGTTTCTCACATCGATGTTTCTCTCTCTCTCTCTCTCTCCCTTCCTCTCTCTCTAAAAATAAAAATGGGGCACCCGGCCAGTGGGGCTCAGTGGTTGAATGTCAATCCATGCACCAAGAGGTGTCAGGATACATGCCCAGGTTGTGGGCCCGATCCCCGGTGGGGGGCATGAGGGAGGCAGCCAGTTGATGTTCTCTCTCATCAATGTCTGTATCTCTCCTCCCTTTTTCTCTCTTTCTAAAATCAATAAAAAGAAAAAATATTTAAAAAGGGGGGGGGGGCAAAAGTCTGAGTAGGTACTTCTCCAAAAAGGACATATAGATAGATGGTCAATATACACATGAAAACATGTTCAATGTCACTAATCATCAGAGAGATACAAATTAAAACTACAATGAATGGATACCATCAATAAGTCAACAAAAAAACAAGTGTTAGTGGTCATGTGGGGAAAAGGGAACCCTGATAACACTGCTGGTAGGAATGCAGACTGGTACAGCCACTGTGAAAAACAGTATGGAGGTTCCTCAAAAAATTAAAAATGGATCTGTCGTTTGACCCAATGATCCCACTTCTGGTACTATATCCTAAGAATCCCAAAACACCAATCAAATGATATATGCACCCCTATGTTCATAACAGCACTATTTGCAATAGCTAAGATCTAAAAACAGCCTAAGTGCCCACCAGTAGATGACTGGATAAAAAAGCTGTGGTACATTTATCATTTATACGATGGAATACTAAGCAACTGTAAAAAAAAAAAAAAAAGGATCTCTTACCTTTGAGACAGCATGGATGGACCTGGAGACTTATGCTAAGCGAAATAAGTCAGTTAAAGAAAGACAAATATCACATGATCTCAATTATAAGTGGAGTCTAAAGAACAAACTGACAAACCAAATAGGTCCAGAGGCATGGATGCATGGAACGGGGTAACAGATCTTAGGGGAGGGGACAGGAAGAGATTAACCAAAGAATATACATGCATAGCCCATGGACATAGACAATAACATGGGGAAAGCCTGGGATGAGGCAGGGGTTGTTTGGAGGGAGGCATAAAGGGAGAAAATGGGAGACATCTGTAATATTGTCAACAATAAAGTAAAAAAAAAAAAAAAAAAGACAACCCAATTTAAAAATGGGCAAAGGATTTTAATAGACATTTCTTCAAAGAAGATATACAAATGGCCAATTAGTACATGAAAAGATGTTTAACATTA